GCGTCCTGTGCACCTGTCCCCCGCACCGGCGCACCTCCTCCCTGCGCCCCGCGGGTCCCCTCTGTGGCACCCTCACCATGGCCCCTCAGAGGGTCCCTCCGCTGCTCCCTCTGCGGAGTTCCAGGTGTCCCCCGTTTGCCCCTTTCCTGTCCCCCACAAAAGTCTCATGGGGGGCTTCGGCCTCGCTGTGGCCTTTTCCTGGTGTTCAGCTGGATGGCGGCCTTGGAAGAGGCAGTGCTGGGACTGCACCCCTGTGTGAGGGCAGTGTGCTGGAGTTTGTGTGGGACCAGTCTTCCTACACGGACGCTTTTGGGAAAGAAAAGCCTTTACGCTCATGTAGAGAATAAAAGAATACTGCTCAGCTTCGGAAAAGTGAAAGAGGAATGAATGTTCTGCAGCTGAGATAGACCACCCTGTACTTCATTTGAAATGTGGGGTTTGTTTTTGCTTTACCATGTGTGAGACAGTTGATTCTATCATTCTTGATACTGTGGCAGTGTTCTCATGTTCGTTTTTACAATTTTCCTTTACACTGTAAGTTAATAAGTAACTGTGGTGATGTCATCTGTTCCAGTTTCTGCTCAATAAAAACTTAGTAACTCTTATTCACAAGGCAGACTTTGAGAGACTTGAAACTTTTGCTTGCATGGGACAGAGCTAGGGCATCAGGATCACACAGAGGACTACTTTTGGTGTAAGGTTGGAAATTAGGTTCAGGTTCTAAGCAGGGCTCTCCTGCTCATGCCTTTTCTCTGATTAGGTGAAAAAAAGAGACAATGGAGCTCTAATAAAGATTGTATGTCTAGACCCTGCGTTGTAGCTTTATATTTGCTGTTTCAGTCCCTGACTAGTAAATATTTTATATACTTAACTGCTGTGAAAATTGATATCTTCTGTTGTTCTCCTTGCTCTCAAATCTTCTAGCTATTTTAAGAGAGTCAGCAATATGCTCTAGTACAAAGAAATTCTTCCTTGGGATTGATTGCCTAAGACTGACTTTTAATACCAATTTTGTTGTAATGCTGACTGATAATGGTACACAGACAGCACTGGATAGCTGTGCCCGATTTACACTTGGATATTCTGCTTTGTGTATAGAAGCACTAAAAGACTTTAAATTTTTTTGGAATGCAATACTCTGCTGCTTGCACATGTTGCTGTCATCTGCAGCCCAGTAAACTGCTGGTGCTCTCTGATGTCGTCTGAAGGCTAAAAACAATGCTGAGAGAGTTGTTAAAGGGCATGCTGTTTTTCATAAAGAAAAGGAAGACTCAGAAAAATTTAACTGTTGTATTTGAAAGGATTCTATCTGGGGACTGTATCTGAAGATGAGTTAAACGAGCAGAACTTGGCAGATGGGAAGAAACCCAACACATCCAAAGCAAAGTTAAACTTGAAGAAGATGCCACAGCTTGGAATAGATGATTAGTATGTAATTCCTCATGGCAGACACCCCTCATGATAGCCAAACCTTGCAGTCGTTACGTTAGGGCAGTGCTAACCTCAGGCCAGAAAGATAGCATAGAGTAGCTCATAAGGCTCGTAGTACGGTGCTAAGGGGGTCAGGATTGGAAGCAAGAAAGCAAAACAAAGTCTGAGGTGAAATTAGTTCCTTCATGTGAAATAAAGACAAGTAGAGCAGTAACACATAAGACAATTTCTCCTGAACTAAAGAATAAGTGACTTCTTTTTTCAAAGCCCACCAGTGGTCAAAGCTTTCCCACAAAAAATTGCACGTTTTAGAGTGAACCAGAAAATGAAATCCTGCAGGAGTAGCACAGTGTAGAGATGATTTTTTACTCTCTTGCTTATAACTGGTACTAATAGTGATACAGTTATATTCTGCAGCATCAATTTCCTATTTCTACATATTCTGAATTACTGGACAAAATTGATTATCACTTTCCTGTATATGTAAAAGCTGAGGTGAGATAGGTGGTGTCTTTTAAGCACAGTCACACAGTTAATGGTGGGACAGACAGTTTAAAACATAGTTATCAGTTAATATATCTTATGGAGTAGATTTAGATTAGATATTAGGAAGAAATTCTTCACTGTGGGACTTGGAGCAACCTGCTGTAGTGCCCATGGCAGGGGGTTGGAACTAGATGACCTTTAAGGTCCCTTTCAACACAAACCATTCTATGAATCTATGATTCTGTGTTCAGTTTCTGAAGTAAAACTGTAGGTCCCATTTTGATCATAATTTGATGCATTTTATGTAGTTAAAGTGTCAGTCACAGGGTTTATGAAGGCAAGCATTGCATTTAGGGAACTTGGACGTTTTAACACTTTCATTTTTTTTCTGGATAGAGGAAAAATGTAGGATGGCAAAATACAAAGAAGGTGGTGTCGTCTTAGTGAATTTGTTTACATCTCAGCAAATAAACATCTGTTTGATTTAATTATCCTGTATTTTGAATAAATGAGACAATTGTCAGAGATGAGAAATATCTTAATGTCCAAATTCACTGAGAATTTTTGAGAAGCTTTTATATATAAGGATTCTGTGTGGCAGCAAAAATGACAAGAAACATCTTAGTTTTGAAATAACTGAAAGAACATGCCCAAATGAACACATTTCTCCATTCTGAGGTGACCTGTACTTCTCTTTAACACCTTTTTCATCTTGAAGTGCCTGTCCAACATCTCTTTCAGATGTTCTGCATGTCATGTAACACAGTAAATCTAGATATCATAGGTAGTAAAATCCACTGTGAGTCTCCTTTGGAGCTTTGAAAGGATTTTTTGATGCTTATATTGGCACATTACTTTCAGCATTTTTTTAATCTTCCTATTATACTTTTTTTCCTCTTATAGGAAGTGTTTCTTTCCTTCCCCCATTTTAAATTACGGGATCTTCTTGAAAGCAAACTTCTCCCTACACTTAATGCTAAACAGCAGGAAGTCCCGTGTTGGACAAAATTTTAAAGCAGTTTTTAAAATTACTGCTTAGCATGTATGAGCAAATTAGTCAAAAGAATTCATACCTAAGAGAGTGATCCCAATTGTCCTTTGCAGAAGAAAACAAAACAAGTGTTCCAGAGGAATCCCCAGCTGCAGAGGAAGAAAAGGAAGAAGTGGAGCAAGTGGAATCAGACCATGGGAGTGTTGGTGAGTACTGCTTTCCACTGAGGAGACGATGGAGCAAACTTAAAAACCCCATTACTTTCTAGTTTTCATTTTTTCACTGTTATTGTTATGAACAGCATCTCAGACCAGTGCCTCAAGGTACAGTAATTGAGTTTCTCTGCTCCCTTTTAGTTGGCTTACCTTGTGTACTTTTGCTCTTTTCCATGACCCCTTTGGTTCTTTTTCATAGAATGCCTAGGAGCAAAAAAAGAAATCAAGACAAGGTGAAAAGCTTTTGAAATAGGGAATGGGCATTTGATCTGAGGTATCAGACTGAAAAGTGCTTTTAACAAGTGCCTGTGACTAGTTGGAAGTCAGGTTGACTGTATTCTGCATTGCAGTCCGGTGGAGAACTGCACTGGGTCATGTGTTAGCAATATGCCTTTTTGAGGACAGTAGTGTCTTCTGGCGGTCTGTTGTATGTGCATTTTTTATAATTTTTCCTAATTGTTTTGTATAATGATATGTATTCAATAGCTACTAGAAATAGACACTTTAAACTTTATTTGGTTTCTAAAGCTGAGACCTAAACACCAAGCAAAGGTGTACTGAAGTACTTCGGGAAGTCTTGAGTTTTACAATCAGTGTTTTTAAAACAGTCTCAAATATTTTCTTCTTTGAATTCTTCACTTTTGAATATTCACAGTAAAGTTTGTAAAAGCCTGAGGGAACACTTGTTACAGACTGCTCCAGGACAAGTTGTTGCTCAGACGTTTTCCCGTGTTTTGAGCTATGTTGTGCCTACTACTCTGTTGAAGGAGGCAAGGAATGTGTGAATCCTGCCTTTTTGCAGTTAGGTGCAAATATCAGCAAGGAGCCTAAAATTTATGTTGAATATAAATTTCTGTTATGTTCCCACTTCTGAGATGCAGAAGGTGATTTCGAAGAGCCCTCGGAGGCACAAAAAAAACCTGAACAGGTAGAAAAGAAAATCTCAGAAACTTTCTTCTATAATTATGAAGATATATGTTCGCGGCCATTGGTCACTGAAGACTCTGGGATACCCATTAACCTTCTTACTCTTAAGTATCCTTTCTGTTGAGGCTCTGCAGATTTAAAGCTAAGGATACGTAATATATGTTCTTAAAATTATACTTGTCTAATTTGGAGTGGCCTGTGTGGCATTAGTGGGACACCTTTGGTTGAGACATAGATAAGAACCTGAGCAGTTATGGTTCTGGGTGAATTTAATCTTAAATGTTTTCTTGACCTCGTAAACATTTATTCTGAGCATAATGCTTACTGTCATAAGTACTCTTGTAGAACCAGATCACGGGCAGAAGACTAGTGGAAGAATATCCCCTGCAAAGTTCCTCATTTCTGTGTAGCCATACTGGTGTTTCTCAAGAAGCTGAAGCAAGGGCAGAGAAGAGCAGCCATGTACTTCAGAATTCCTCACAGTACTGCTAAGGGAGAAGTGGGGAAGAAACCAGGTAGATTTGTAGCCTGGTGCTCAGAAGATCTAAACTGGTAGAATGGAGGAAGTTATGCCCATCAATTAAGAGCTACAGTAAGTCCTGCGCTAGGTATGCTCAAGTAGGATATGACATGTGACTTTCAGATGTGCGGGTGGTTTTCTCTGCAGACACAGTCAAGTTGCTATTGAAGACTGAATTTTCCCTTCTCTACATCTGCCTGTAAACATAAAAGAACTGAGCTTGAGCACTTCCTTGGTTTGATCTCTTGTCTGTAGAACAGTTCCTAGTACTCTGATGCACATCTCTTACATTTTGTAAATGAGAACACTGATAAAATATGAATTCCTAGCAGCCCCAAAGGATCCAGCAGAGACAAGCGGTGTGCCTTGTGTGGAGATGATAGGATGCAATACGAGCTTTAGAAAGTCTTCACTTGTGCTTTTCCCTCAGTTACAGAATCTTGACATGTTTTACCCTTGCTGTATACTGAACAAAACTATCTCCTGCCATCAGGCTCTTAGTCACTGGTTTCAGTAGTCCTGTTTCGGTTTTGGTTTAAGCATTTCTATCCACTTAGTAAACTTTTCTAGAAAGCCAGTGTCAAATCTTTTCCTTATTGAACTGTTCCAGATATTCTTTTGGATATGACTGCACCAGAAGGGCAAACCTGCTGATGATGGATAGCCAAACACTGCTGTATATAGCAGGCAACCATGTGGTACTCCTGGACCTGAAAACTAAATCTCATCGTTATGTCCGGAGCAGTGGTGGTGGTGGAATTGGCTTTATTACAGTATGGCTTTTGTTTCTTGTTTTAGGACGTTAATCACTTTCTAGAAACAAAACGTTCACTTGGTTGCTTAGTGGGAGATTTCTACAACTGCATGTGTATATACATAAGAAAGTATAGTAGTGATTAAAGGAACGTGTGGACCATGCAATGTGGGCTACTCATCCCATCAATATAATTGGCAGGGGACAAATAATCTATATACCTCAGTCCCAAGATCAGGTACCTTAAAAGACTTTTTTTTTTTTTAACTCTTCAGCTGTCCTAGTCACAGCTGGTACTAGTATAGAGCTTTGCTTGCAATTAAAATTTAGACACTCTAGTTCCTAGACAAATGAAGAGAAGAAGTATCTGGTTTCACTCTAGTAAACCCTTACGAAAAGCTTGGACTCTCAAATGCTACCTCTGAGTTTGAAGCACCTTACCCTGTGAATGACTCTGCCATCTCTCAGTTCTATTCCATATCAGCAAAGCTTGCAGAATACCAGCCTCGGACTGTTGTGCTCCATTGTAAGCACCCTTTTCTAGGGAATTACAGTACATCTTTATGTCTTCAGAACAGTGTAATTCAGGATGGCTCTTCTGCAGCTGTCTGCTGAAGTAGATGGCTGCTGATGCAAAGGCTTTTATGGAAAGATCAGCTAGTGGTTGAGCGAGGTAGGAATATTTAAAGAATGCATAACAAAGCAAATTATTTCAGTTTGCCATGGTTCTACACTGTAAGTGCAATATACTGTGTGCATAACAGTTTTACCATTTTGTGTGCATAGTGGCTTCATTCTGATATTGAGCAATAGATTGGCAGTTCAGAATAAACACACAGAAAAATGCAACCTAGTATTTGTGGGAATCTTTTGACTAATGAGTAAGTAAACGAAATTACTCAATAATTAGCAGGATAGAGACAAAAGGTGTCTTTACAGTGTGCAATGGGATTTTTGCTTTTTCAAGGCACACCCTACTAAGCAGTACTTTGCAGTAGGAGAAAAAGGAAGGAAGCCAAACCTCATCATCTACGATTATCCTTCACTGAGGCCCTACAGAATACTGCGAGGTAAAAAGTTGTATTTTTGTTTTACACAAATGTGCCGTTGTTTGTCGATCCCAGCAGATGGAGTAGTGAGTCACTGTAAGTTTGGAAGGAAATACAGCCTTTTGATCCTTCACAGCAAAATAGAAAACAATGGTTTCAAGCGTTTTCACTACTGCATGGGAGGAAACTCTTATTTAGTGGAAATAGCCAGCTGAGAGCTATTACCTACTGAAAAAAAAAAAATGGCAGTGAAACTTGATCTCCTTCTAAATAGATTTTCCTGCTGTTTTCCCTTCTTTTCCGTGTGCATATTGGGGCTTGTGTGGTTTTTCAGATGGAACAGAGGAAGCCTATGTTTTTGGTGATTTCAAACATGATGGCACTTTGCTGGCCAGTGTTGGGAGCAGCCCTGACTACATGCTGACTATATGGGACTGGAAACAAGAAAAGATTGTGTTGAGGTCAAAAGCTTTTTCACAGGATGTTTACAAGGTCACATTTTCTGCTGATAATGAAGAACAACTGACTACATGTGGAATAGGACACATCAGGTAGGTTTACTGATTAGGATTAATACATGTCACCTCTGAAGTCATAATAAGTACAAGATGACTAATAAGAATGTATCATTAGCAAACACAGACCAATGAGGAATGCTGACTGGCCATTACAATTACAGAAATGAGAAAGTTCAAGTCCTTCAGCTTGTCAGCCAAGTCTTTTAACAACTTTGCTGTCCAAAAAGGATGATGCATGATGTTGAGTGAGGGTACCACTAGCTCCATTCTTGTAATTTCAACAATCACTGGAGAGAATTAATACAAGATATATTATATATACATGTCTTTTAGCTGGTAACATAGCATATTCTGCCTGTGCCTTCTGGGCTTTCTACCTTTGATTTCTTGAACTCATCTGCTGTTTGGGCACCCATTGGAACTGGTTGCCAAGTCATAGATCAGAAACAATCTGATACCACCAAAAGCCTGCAAGAAAGCCTCACAAAAGATATGCTTCTATACATTCATGGATCCTTTTGTGATAAAAAAGAAACCACAATTTTAATCAATTTGGGACACAGATTAGTTCTGTATTCTGTAATTATCCAGTGTTTAGAGTTAACACCGCAGAGACTTAAGATATGACTTGGATGCTATTGTAATAGATGAAACATCTAAAATAGATTAAATTATACCTTTAAAATTATAGCACATCTAGCGTTTCTTTGAATTTTAACAGAGGAATCCAGTCAAAATCTGAGATTTGCTCAGTAGTCTGGTTGCAAGGTGAGTCTGAAATAGAGTACCATAGGAGTAGTATAGGGAAATGTTTGGGTAGTTACAAAGCTTGTAACTACTTACAAATCTCATTTTCAAAAGAAAATCCCAAGGTCCCTTGTGAAAAGAATAGTAAATGAGCAGCTCTTACCTCAGAGGCATCATCCCTGGTAAAATTATTACAATGTCAGAGAGGGACCGAAGAGTGTGTTTAGGAGATCTTGTGTCAGAGAGGGATGTTTTTTATATACTCAGGTTCTGGAAGATGGCTCTCACATTCACCGGTCTCAAGTTACAAGGAGCTTTGGGCAGGTTTGGAAAAACAGCGGTGTCTGACATTATAGGTTATGTGGAGCTGCCTGATGGGAAGGTAAATAAGAAAAAGTTTAATTGATTTTATGTTTCCTCTCAGGTTTTGATATAAAGTCTACTGAGTGAGTTGGAGAGTTACTACTTGCTTCAAAGTGATTTGAGTTACAGTCTCAATGCACTGCTCTGATAAGCTAATCTCGACATTCATTTGCCAAATCCCTGGCTTGCTTTGTAATAATTGAGAAGTATGGTTAGTACTGTAATGCCCAGGCAAAAGATCTCTGGTTTATAGCTGAGGGTCCTCTAATGGGGTAGTGAAAACATTAGTGTAAAGAAATACAAGGACTATTAGCCCTAATCTTTAACCATGTAAATTATGTCACATTACTAAAAAGATGAATCTTCTCATCCCTTACGTCTTCTCTTGCAAATATCTATACATTGCTATCAATTTAATGCTTTCATGGAAGGAAGCTGCAAATGTTAACCAGATTTTTGCCAGTATTTCTGCATGGTTAAGCGCAGGTGTTCATATGCTTATCTTCATTTGCATTGAAGGTTATCTCAGGGACTGAGTGGGGCAACTTGCTGCTTTGGGAAGGAGGCCTCATTAAAGTAGAGCTCTGTCGAGGTGAACAAAAGCCCTGTCACAGTGGCCCTGTCAGCCAGTTAATTCTGGAGGAAGGAGAACTTTTCACTGTTGGAAAAGATGGCTACATTCGGGTGAGTTTTTCTTCTGTTTTGCCTTTGGGTGTGCAAATTGTGGTCAGCAGGTAAATGTTACATGTTTTCTTTACAAAGGCTTATTTGTGGAGGCAATTTTGCTGTGTGGTTTCTTTCTGAGAATGAATTTGTAGAACAAACAGAGTAAGATCGCATCATCACAGTGTATATGTTTGAATTGAAGAGTGTTCATGCAACATTCTCTGTTTAATAGTAGTAAGTCACCTTTTACTCTAGTAAATCAAAATAGTTTTCAGTGATTCTCTAACAGCTTTGGTTTTATGACAAAACCAAAGGTTTCCTGCATTCTGACATTTTTTTCATGTGTAGTTTTGGATAATCTTTATAATTTTCAGGCATATTAACACATTTTGTATTATTTCAAAGGATAAACTACAGGATTATTTGAAATTGATTTTCTACATATTTGAAAGCTAGATTATTAATACTAAAATGACATAGAAATTAACTAGCATCTCAGAGGTATACATATACTGAAATAGAGGAACAATTAAAATAAAAAAGCATCCTGAATTTCAAATATAATTCTGTAAATTAAGGTCAAAAAGTTTTCCTTATCCATGCCACCAGATTCTGCTCTCATCTGTCAATTATCAAGGATTTTACAGTCTTGTTTGCTTGCTTTTTAAAGGAAGACATGATGTGTCTTCTGCTGATGTGTGAAAAAAACTAGAAAATGAATGGGAAGCTGACTGTTATAGACAGTGGAGGGTTTCAAACACCCTGGATTTTTTGTTGTTGTGTTTTATAAATTGATAGTAATTCCATTAGGAAAATTCACTTGGTTATAAGGTTGCCAACTGGTGTCTTGTCCTTATCCCGCAGGGCAGAACATGAATGTGTTAGATTACCCATTCTTTCTTCTGTACTGCTTCAGTATGAGCAGAGCTGAGGGCAGGCAGGTACCATTTGTTCTCTGTAGTTCTGAGGCTGCCATGTATAGCTCTGCTAGTGCCAGGGCTGAATTTCAGCTCCTGTTGTTTCAGAGTTGGGTGAAGAACTTTTATGTCTACTTTGCATTGCACCCAAATGTATTAGATAGTAGTTGGTTGTCACTGTTACAGGTTACATTCAGAGCAGTGAGGCAGAGATGGCAGGTTTCATACTCTACCTGTAGAATCTATACTCCCCTGGTTTCTTATAATTTTGAATTTCCATATTAGTTTTGTATGAAAATATAACATGGCCTTATAAAAACCCATTTATTTTGTGGTTTCTTTATGCTTCCAATGCCATGAAGCTGTGGAACTTTGAGATAATAGATGCTGCTGATTCTGTGGATGACACAGGGTTACTGGAGGTGGAGCCTATGAATGAACTTCATGTTGGCAAGAATGTCAGCCTGAGTTTCATGTCAAAAATTTATGACTCTGGACAGGCCTTTTGGTATGCTCAGGTAAGATACGTTCGAGTACATACATCTTTGTGGAGAAACATAGAATGAGGGAAGTGATGTTAAGTAACAGCAGGAGTCCATTACAAATCAGTATGTTTCTCTTTGTTAGAGTTCAATCTTCTTCTGAATATATATTTTGTTTTTCTTTTCTTCTTTCCAATGCTTGAACAGGCTTCCTAGAGAGGTGGTTTATGCCTCATGCCTGTTAGTGCTTAAGAGGCATTTGGACAATGTCTTTAATAAAATGCTTTAACTTTTGGTCAGCCTTGAAGTGGTTAGGGAATTGGACTAGGTGATTGTTGTAGGTCCCTTTTAACTGAACTGTGCTATACTGTGATATATTTTTAGTGTATAGTAACAAGTGAGACTCTGGCTTTCAGAGCCAGAACTACGTAAGAATAGGAGGGCCACAAAATGATCCAATGGATGCACCACCTCTCCCATAAGGAACAGCTGAAAGAGTTGGGGTAGTTCAGCCTGGAGAAGAGAAGGCTCCAGAGAGACCTTATTGCAGCCTTTCAGTTCTTAAAAGGGGCCTATGAGAAAGATGGGGAGAGACTTTTTAGCAGGGCCTGTTGTGATAGGACAAGGAGTTAGAGAGGTGGTTTATGCCTCATGCCTGTTAGTGCTTAAGAGGCATTTGGACAATGTCTTTAATAAAATGCTTTAACTTTTGGTCAGCCTTGAAGTGGTTAGGGAATTGGACTAGGTGATTGTTGTAGGTCCCTTTTAACTGAACTGTGCTATACTGTGATATATTTTTAGTGTATAGTAACAAGTGAGACTCTGGCTTTCAGAGCCAGAACTACGTAAGAATAGGAGGGCCACAAAATGATCCAATGGATGCACCACCTCTCCCATAAGGAACAGCTGAAAGAGTTGGGGTAGTTCAGCCTGGAGAAGAGAAGGCTCCAGAGAGACCTTATTGCAGCCTTTCAGTTCTTAAAAGGGGCCTATGAGAAAGATGGGGAGAGACTTTTTAGCAGGGCCTGTTGTGATAGGACAAGGAGTTTTAAACTAAAAGAGGGGAGATTCAGACTGGGTGTGAGGAAAAAATTCTTTACTGTGAGGGTGGTGAAACCCTGTCACAGGCTGCCCAGAGAGGTGGTGGATGCGCCATCCCTGGAGACATTCAAGGCCATTCAAGGCTGGATGTGGTTCTAGGCAACCTGGCCTGGTTAGAGATGTCGCTGCTCATTGCAGGGAGGTTGGACTAGATGATCTTTGAAGGTCCCTTCCAACCCAAACTATTCTATGATTCTATAATGTCAAAAGGTATTGTCCAAGTTCTGTTATCCTGGATTGATGGATAGGACCAACATCATAACATTCAGTCATTTCAGTTTCACAGACTTTTTAAGAAGTTGCTGTGGGCAGTTTTATTTCCAAAATGAGTTTGAAAATATCCAAGTTATATGTTTTGATTTTTCTTCTTCAGGATACCAATGGAGCAATCTGGAAGCTGGATCTGACTTTTTCGAATATGGTAAGCTTGGTGGTATTTTTTTTCCTTTCTTTTGATTTCTTCAATTCCCTTGCAGTAACTTCCTGTAACTATATGGATGCATCTGCAGTGAAGTTTGTGTTTTATGAAGCTACACAGTTAAAAATGTTAGCATTGAAACAGATTCTTTTTTTCCCTTAAAAATGTATTTTCATAATGTTATTTATGATAATGATTGTGCAGGATTATAAAAAATAATTTGAGTTTTGATTCCTGAAACTTTGGCTGCCAAATTGAAGTTACTTCAAAGGAGTTATTCTCATAAACTGGTCATAAAAGTTGCATGGATGCAGAAAATGAGTTCAAAGAATATTTATATATCCTATCTAGATAGGTGTTTGAAACAATCCTTACTATTGTCTCTAAATGACATAAAGAACTAAGAAACCCAGGAAGATTAAATGCACTTCACATATTTACCCTACTGGTTATTAGTGTTACTGCAGGAGATGTTTTTGAAGGAGAAATAGATGACTTGGTTAAAATGGGGGCATTTAATTTTTGCACTCGAACAAAATAAATGGGAACAATCCCTTTGAGTGGAATAAAGTTCTGTGACAACAGGTAAAATTATGTTCCAAGAATTTCATGATACATAAAAGATTTACAAACCATACTATAAAAACTAAAGTAAAACTGCCATAGCAAAACCTAGAATTCCTTGAATGATAAAATTATTTCCCACACAGCATAAGTCCTAGGCTTGAGAGCATTTTTTTTTGTGTTCAGAGCAACAATTCTTTGTTAAAGATACTAATTCTGAGCCTGCAACCTCTTAATGAAAGGCATTCTCCTTTATTTTCACATATAAAATGATGAAATTTTAAATTAACTTAAAGTTCCTACACTAATTTTTCTCATAATCTTCTTATGAACACTAAAAAAAAAAAAAAGGCAAACAGGAATTGCATATAGGTACCTTATACATGCCAAATTTTGTTCACACAAACAGTACCTGCCTAGATTTTCCAGGTTTGCTGCAGGTATACCTGGTAATACTATAGCTGGTGATACCAGCTCCAGAAAGTAACAGAATTTCTGTTCTTCTCTTTTGCACTGCAGACCCAAGATCCAGAGTGCATGTTTACCTTTCACTCTGGAAGGATTGAGGCCATGAGTGTCTCTCCCATCACATACCTTTTGGCTACCACTGCTCTTGACCGTAAGTACACTATTCCTTTCATACCACTGTAATTATTGTTTTTGAAGAGCAATGATACTTGGTTTGGAACTATTCTGTTTTGAACTGAAGTTGTGTATTTTCTCTTGAAAAGCCACTTGGCAGAAAATTGTTATTCCTGGGATCTAGTTAAGACAAACCATTAATGTTTCAAAATAATTCATTAAGATTGCTTCATTTTAAAAGCCTGGCATTTAAACAAGAGAAGTTTTTAATGGGAAACTTTGTCAATTCTGTTTGTTCTGAGGGAATGGCTTGCAAGAAGAGACATTTGGTTTGAATAACAGCACTTGTATTCAAGGGTCTGGATCGATAAGTGTTGGGATTTTTGTTTTGTAAGGAGTTACATACATCTGTAGCATTGTGTAAGTCTGTGAATAGTAATATTTGTGGCTTTCTTAGAAAATGCAATAGCTATCATGCTCTCAACAACAACTAACATACAGTCACAGACATATTTATTTAACATATAAATATTGCAAAGTAGCCCTCTCAGAGGTAACTTTGTCATGCTTTGAAAGAACCATCACTGGCTAGAACATTAACAGTGCTATTTACACGTCTTAGAACATGCTACAAGGTCTTTAACTCAATTCTTGTCAGCAGTATCTTGTCATGTGTCTGTATTGTGCAATGTCCATGCTCTTCTAGCTTGAAGACAAACTCCTACCTGTTGAGTAAATGGCATTTAGGATATATGCCAGCTGGAATGGAATTTCATGCAGACCAGTATGTGTGTCTACAAATCTATTAATTTCACCTCTGCTGAAATTGGCTTTTCCTTGGACAATCTCCCATTTTCATCCATTTAAATATATTCCTGCCTGAACAATCCCAGGTAGTAGTGTATCATTTTTTCCTGTGTTGTCAGTACAGATTTTCCTTACAGTATGCTACAGTTCTGTGATTACTTGAAAATTACACATGGTGGTCAGCAAGGGACTTCTTATTACAACTCTTAGCCCTGATGACTCTTGGGAGCGTGTAAGTTAAAGGGTGAAGAAACCTTAAGTTTTATTCATGAGCACCATGCTAGCTCTGGCACTCTTGTAACCATCAATCATGTCTTTCCAGGAGGGCATTTGATACTCAAAGAGAAAAACAAATAACATTCTATCCAGCTTTGAATTCAAATGAATAGACATTTCTCTAAATCTTAACATGTAAGTGACATTGCAAGTATCTCCTTTCCACACAGGGTCGGTCCGTATCTATGATTTCATCAGTGACAGACAACTGAGTGAAATGAAGTTCAAACAAGGAGGAACAGCACTGACATGGGCACCTCATGTTGTGAGTTTCTGCTAGTGTGTTAGCAAAAACCCATAGGGGCCTATGAGCCTGCCAGCAGCAAGAAAGTTGCTCACTACACAAGACCTTAAAGAAGTCACTGTCAGGCTGTGGTGGAATTTACTATAGTAGTATGTATTTGTACGCTTGTGGAGTAGTATAAATGTATATAGTATGTGTACAGTTTGACTTTACTGTGGATTATCAAGTATTCTACTTTGTGTTTTTCTCGGATTTTAAAATTATATCTCAGTGTGCAGTCCCAGGAAACAGTTTATAGCCTAACAGCTTCTATTTAATCCACTCGGAGTAACTGTCAATTAACATGAGTTAGTAACACATTTTGAAATGACAGCTCAGACAATCCACAAACATTTGGAGATAAATCATAAAAAACTGTTGCCAGAACTGATCATTTGTGGAGTGTGGAGTCTATCACTTTTAGATATATTTGCTAATTTTAATTAAAATAGTGTCTAGTTATGTTCTTGAAGCAGCATATGGAGTCTGGTTGGTTAATTATAAGCAAATTCATGGAGCAAAGTGCTTATTTGCGTTTCCAAAGTGAGGATAACATTGAGACAGTGCTCTTAGAATTATAACTCTGGCCATACAGACTTTCAGGGATGCTATTAGGTGATGACCTATACATTCAAGAGGTAAGCTGACTGCCACAGTAGATTGTACAGCATTACAAAACTGACTCGATGGAGTTTTACAAAAGTTGGTACTGAACACAATCTGAAAAATCAGCCTATCTAGCTGCATTTAAGATCCCGTTAGATACTTACGCATAGCTAATGTACTCAAATGTATTTGAAAATCTGTTATATTAATCTAAGAAAATTTCATCCAACATAATTTGAAGCATCTGTATACCATCATATCTTCATAGGCAACCTAACAACATACAGGTTAAATGAGTGAACAGTGATATGGATTTAAAACTGCCCAAATGGCTGGGCCTCAGGGGATGATGACTCAGCAGAGTCCAGTTAGAGGCAAATCTATAGTCATATACGCTAGGGATGATGATGGGTGCCAAGTTCTTCATTAATTACCTGGACAGTGGAACAGAGTGAACCCTCAGCAAGTTCATAAATGATACAGGACTGAGAGGAGCGGCTGGTACTCTAGATGGTTGTGCTGGCATTCAGGAGGATCTGAACAGGGTGGAGAATTGGGCTGAGGAGAATCTCAGTAACTTCAATGAAGGAAAATGCAAAGTACTACATCTGGGTAGGAATAATCCCAGGCACCAGTAGTGCCTGGAGGTCCACCAGCTGGAAATCAGTTTTGCAGAGAAGGATCCTGGGAGGCACCAAGCTAACCATGAGCCAGTGATGCACCCGAACAAATCCAACAACATCCTGGGCTGCATCAGGAAGGGTGTTATCATCTGGTTGAGGGAGGTATTGTTCCTCTTCACTCAGCACTGGGAAGACACATCTAGAGTATTGGCTCCCTGGTAAAGAGATGTGGACTTAATGGAGTCAAATGCAGAGCCATAAATTTGAGGTCTATGAGTGACTCCTCTTGGTCATTTATTAAGCAATGCTATTGTGCATCTGTTTGTTACAGAGGTGCTTTTTAAGGTAAGAAGACATCACGGCCTGATCTCCCCACATAATGAGAAGACAGTTACCCCCAGCTGCCTTCTGAACAATAACCTTTGTTATACCTAGAATCACACTTTTGCCAATTGCTCACAAAGCTTAACCATTCACTCTCATCTCTTCACACAGAAATTCTCCTGCTGCTCTCACTTCTGGTGTACATTAATATTGATCTGTGCTATGTCCGGAGTTGGCTCAGCTTGTAAATCACTTCAAGACACTACCATGTATGACTAACATTAGCTAAATCTGCAAGTCCAGCAGAAACACAGGCCTGTTTCTGCTAACTCTTCTCTCTCAATTCAAGCCTGTCTACACTGTTAGCAATTGGCTTACCTACAGGGCCTATGGTGAAGACTCCATAGCCTCCTCTTTCCACCTCAAGTAGCTGTCGCTGTTGACAACTGCACTCCACATAGGGTCAGCCAGACCCAAGTCTGTGTTGTTACCTCTTCAAAAATCATACCCACATTCAATGCCCAATATTATACCCAGGGTAATAAAATAATTCCTTTTTTGAGTTCCACATCTGGAGTACTGTGTCCAGTTCTGGGCTCCTCAGTACAAGACAAGGAGCTACTGGAGAGGGTCCAGTGGAGGGTCACAAGGATGATCAGGGGTTTGGAGCATTTTCCTTATGAGGAGAGGTTGCAGGAGCTGGGCCTGTTTAGTCTGGAGAAGAGAAGACTGAGAAGGGATCTCATTAATGTGTATAAATATCTCAAAGGTGGGTGCCAGGAGGGTGGTGCCAGGCTCTTTTCAGTGGTGCCCACTGACAGGATGAGGAGCAATGGCCATGAACTAAACCACGAGAAGTTTTGCCTCAACATGAGGAAGAACTTCTTTGTGTTGAGGGTGGCAGAGCACTGGAACAGGCTGCCCAGGGGGATTGTGGAGCCTCCCTCTCTGGAGACATTCAAAACCTGGGTGGACACGTTCCTGCGTAACCTGCTCTAGGTGGCCCTGCCTTGGCAGGGAGGTTGGACTAGTTGATCTCCAGAGGTCTCTTCCAACCCTAATGATTCTGTGATATCAGTATGAATTACAGCCACGTCCTTGTTAACATTTCCAGTCTCAATGTTATGTTATCAGTAAAAAGCCAAAACTAACCCAAACCAAAAAATAACTCCCAGTCCTCAAACTCCATTTACAGTAGTATATTAGAGAAAATAAACAACATTGCCCATGTATGAGATATCCTTTGTGCTTTAGCAACACTTCCATGTAAGATGAGTTACAGGTTAATGCAGGGCACGCGCCATACAGATTCTTATTCTAAACTCTCAGATGTAGACTGATTTTTTTCTTCATTCTTCCACTCAAAGGTAAATCCTAAAGGAAGTCTAATTATTGTGGGGTTTGAAGATGGTGTTGTCCGCCTAATTGAAGTTTATGATCCCAAAGGACTGCCCGTTATTGCAGGAACAGGGAATGCAGAGTTAAATCTGAAAAAAGCTCTCAAACCTCATGCTGCTGCAGTTACAGCCTTGGCATATGAACGAAATGGAGCTGTGCTTGCCACAGGGGTATGTGTCACTTCTTTTGGTTGTTTTTATTAAACCACAAACATAGAGATTCTTTAAAGAGATAAGGTAAAGTTTGTTTACTGACACCACCGTTATACTTCTGTTACTGCTGTTGACTGCTTCTTCTAGTTCTCTGCAGTGCTGGGGGATGAGAAGGATCTGTTTGCTCTCACATTTGTTTTCCAAAGGAAAGCAACCGTGTAATCCATGCAATTAATTTTGTGAATTACCTGTTTAGTGTGAATTCTGTAATCCCCATTGAAGATGAATTTGGTTCATTTTGGAATTAGTTTAGGATTATCTTGGGATTAGTAAAAGCAAGTTGGTTTGTACGCCACTTGACAGCAATCCAGTTGCTATTTAGCACTGCTTGGCCTTACAACAGGATCAACCAGTTGGTTTGTCAGTGTGCCTGCTAGTCTTTGAGATGATTTCCAGTCAATGTGGTCTCTCTTTTTAAAATCTAGACTTTATCCATGCTCAGTGCATTTGCAATTAACATGTTTCTTGAGCTGTATGACCATGCATTTCACTTAATGCAGGATTTACATTGCTGTGCATCATGTTGTGCACCAGTTCTGGATTCATTGTTATCTGGGGAAATCAGCCTGTGCTATCTTACCTGAAAAAAACAGTCCTGAGCTTGAGCTTTAAAGGAGCTCTTTGGACAAGGGACAGAAAGCACATGGCTGGGGATGCCAAGTGGGGCCCATGAGGTAATTAATCATAGAATCATAGAACAGTTTGGGTTGGAAGGGTCCTTAAAGGTGATGTAGTTCCAACGCCCTGCCATGGGCAGGGACACCTTCCACTAGATCTGGTTTCTCCAAACCCATCCAGCCTGGTCTTGAACACTTCCAGGGATGGGGCAGCAACAGCTTCTCCAGGCAATCTGTGCCAGTGTCCCACCACCCTCATAGTGAAGAATTTTTTCCTAGTATCTCATCTAAATCTACCCTCTTTCAGTTTAAATCCATTCCTCCTGGTCCTGTCAAGGGAGATTTAAGGGCTATGGGTGCATTCAGAGTCCTGGAGCAAGGTGGGCAGGATTTTTATTTCCTCCTGTTAATCATTATAGAAATACAGTTTTAAGTTCCAAGGCATTTGTAAGTATCCCTGTCGAGCTACAAAACATTGGAAATACGTGTTTATGTCATAAAGTGCTTGCAGTCTTTTGAATGTTTAGTCAAGCTTTGATTCAGTCACGACTGGGGTTTTTTTGATTTCCCCCCCGACCCCTTCAGAGCAAAGACAAAACCATTTTCTTTTTTGCTGTTGAAGATGAATATGAGCCAATTGGATTCATCTGTGTCCCTGGGTCTGTGCAGGCATTACAGTGGTCTCCACCTTCTCATGTGAGTAATGTATGTTTGTTTTCTTTCCTTTCCTACTGTATTAAAAAGTCATTTTGAAAAGAACTTCAAATGAAAATAGATGAAGATCCATGACCCTAACCATGTTCTCTACAGACAATGCAAAAGATGTTTTGCTAACTTTGTTCTTCATGCTGCTTCAGCATGACAGATAGGTTCTGAGTAGCTGTATCTCTGGTTCAGTCACTTTGGATTTGTTTTTGACTTTGGATAATAAAGAGCAGGCACATATGAAAACCATAAAATCTTGCTCAGCTTTTTGAATTCCTGCCTTAAAGAAACAAACTTGTGCCATAGCTTTTGGAAGGTCTTAGTCATCTTTGACCAAAGAGTTCTTCGAGCATTATTGCCTGTGCCCCTTGCCCATATCAAAACAAGCTTTTGCAAAGCTTTTGGATCACATCAAGAAAGCTTTTGGATCACATCAAGAAAGCTTTTGGATGCTTTTTTGATTTCACATTCTGTCTTTGAAGTATGTCAGTGACATATTCAAGTAGATTCTTGTTAATATTTTAAAAGTTTTATAAGATTAGAGTAACATTGGAAATTTTGGTTGATCCAGTATTCTTATTTTGAGGGGAAATTGTTCCTCATATTTAGATGCTGACAAAGTGGTCAGCAAGATACAGTATACAGGTGCACAGTGGCAAAGTGTAGCTGTGATTCCTCATTAATGGGAACTGATAAAAACTGTAGCAAAAGAACTCCTGCTGGTATGAGCTCTGTCTTACTGCAGGAGTGATAGATCTTGATGTGACAGTTGTATTTTGAGTCCTTTCCTTTGAGGACAAGGTACTTCTACTAACTAGAAAAAGTACCCATCATGTCTTTGGTATGTTAGATTCTGCCTGAGTAATTTTGTCTACCAGTATCTGTTCTCCACTGCTAAATGTGAACGCTTACTAAACATAGTACAAGCATCTTAGTGTTACACTACTTTTTTTCTCTTTAAAAAAAGCACCTTAATGATTAAATGCTAGACATTTAATGATTGCATTTGTAAGGCTGAGATTTGATGGACACAAGACCTATGTAATTCCTAGTTAGGGTTTCCATAGTAATTTGTAAATGTCCCCCTTTGCACATTTTTAGGGATAGGTTGGATAAAATAAGCCTCTCATATTCTCCAGATATCTTATGAAAATTGAAGCTACAGACTTGCCTTTTAAAATCTCAAAATACTAAATGATTATTATCCTCTCCTCACATATACTTCGTAACTTTGCATTTTAAAGGCCCTGCAGGTACCTGCAAAACCAAACTCAAAGCTAAATAGCGTTAGCAAGATTTTGAGCCCCGTCTTGAAGATATAAAGGTTTTAGTACTAAATAAAAATACGAACTTTCAAACAGTTATCAACCCAAAACCTCAGTTCCTAACTTGAGTCAGATCCATCTTTAATTTCACCAAACCCCCAAAATACCATCATGCTGCTTCCAAGCTAGGCAGTATCAGAACAGTAGCTGTTTTGTATATGGCAAGGACTTCTTCAATTCCTTGCCTTTGCTTAGAATACATAGCATAAAAGCAGCTCACTGATTTCTAATGTCCATGCAAAAGTGTCCATTAAAAGAAGAGCACGGTTAAAGTTAATGCCTCCTGCCTGGAGCTTGGCTTTGTGCCTCTGTGTCTTCTGACTGTTTCCCATTTCTCTCAATTGCACGTATACATCTGCCCCGTACTCGTGTTTTTGTACAGGCACAGAGCACACTGCTCATCCTTTGTGAGAATGGCTTTGTTCTTCAGGTTCCTGTCCCTAAGGAAGAGAATACAGCGTCCACATATCAACTAAAGAACCTGCCAATGCAGTACTTCCATTTTTACAGTATTAAATCCCGAATCAAGGTAAAGAAATCTCCTGTGGTGGAATTTCATGTTCTTCATTGTGCCAGAAGACAAAACTATGCAGAAGGGTTTTTAGTCTCTGTATTGCATCATAGGATTTTTTGCTAAGCTTCTTAAAGGGGAAGGCCAGGTAGAGTCCATTTGTGGCTGAGTTTCAACATGTGAAATTACAAATTGTTGAACATACATCACACTGAAAACATCATGTGAATTTTGAATATAATTAGAAAATAACATTAGTGAAAGGGAAAAGTAGTACAGCAAATTAGTTCTCAAAATTTTCATTTGGTAATTTTCACAAGAAGTAGATTTCTTGTGCTTGATGTTAGCTCTGTATGAAATTCCTTTGAACAGTCATAAAACACCCATGTGATCACATTGAGGCAAATGTGAAACATATATAATTTTTTCAGCAATTTCTGATTTTTAGAAATGTTGTAATAATTTTAAAGGTATGTGTTTTTATTTCTATATGAGAAATAGAATTTTAGACAGTCATCACTGGAAGTGTAGAAGGTCAGGATGGATGGGGCTTTGATCAGCCTGGTGTAGTGCAAGGTGTCCTTGCCCATAGCAGGGGAGTTGGAACTAGATGATCTTTAAGGTCCCTTCCAACCCAAACCATTCCATGCTTCCGTGATTCTATGTGGGGCCAAAGGAAAAGAGTTATGCCAGCTCTCAGCTAGTTAAATTTGTGAAATTAAAAAGCAAGCTGATGTTAGGTTCAGGAGCAGAAATCCAGTGAGCAGGCTGTCAGTCCCATGTTCAGTCCACCACAATCCAACAGCCTCCCTGATTCTGTTCTTAACCTGTGGTTTCTCTGCCTTGTCTCTTAACTGTTCTTGTCTTTTGAGTGGTGCATTACTGAATGTCAGGTAAAGCGTAATCTCTTGTTATAACTAAGATGATGTCAGCATTCAGGGGAAAGATTTCTTGAGTGTTATCTCACAGAAAGAACAACAAGAATGACACAAAGCTAGCATACATATATGAAAGGATGAAAGAATGTGTGTGGAGTTTTGTAGGGTTTTTGTTTGGGGATTTTGTGTTTTGTTTTGGTTTGGGTTTTTTTGTGGTTTTTCTTTTTCAGTCAAAAGACAAAAATATTTTTGGGAGACACTACAAATTTTTAAAAATAGAAAAAGCTTATACAGGGAGAAAGCATATTAATTGCTCTCCTTTTCTTCTAAGAATAGATCAGTAATTAATAAATCACAACAGGGATGTTTTAGATAATGTGTAAGGAAAGCCAGGTTGGATGAGGCTTTGAGCAACCTGATCTAGTGGAGGGTGTCCCTGCCCATGACAGGGGAGTTGGAATGAGATGATCTTTAAGGTCCCTTTCAACCTAAACCATTCTATAATTATATGATTCTGTGAAAGATTTCTAACAGTAAGGGTGGTGATGCACTGAAATAGTTTGCATAGGCTGTAGAGTCCCCATAACATGAGATTTTTAAAAGGTCAGTCATACGGTTCAGCTGATTCTGCTTTCAGGCAGAAGCAAGCTCTTTTGAGATCCTTTCCAGACCTTTCTGTATGATTTTTCCATCTAATATCTTCTTGTGAAGATCCTGTTGTTAGAGATCGTTTGGTGTTTGTTTATGCTAAAGTAGGCTTGAATGGAAAGGGGACTTCAAAAGTTTTATAAATCTGCAAATGTCCTCCCTTCATTGTTCAGAAGAAGCAAAACCCGTAACAGCTTCTTTCTTTCACTCTGCATCAATGATGCTCTAGAACTTGGGAATCTGAGTTCAGCTTTCCAGTGTTTTACTGTCTCCTGGGCAGGGAGAGGCCAGGACTTTGGAGTTCTGCAGAAGTAGTACACTAGTAGTGGTTAATACTGGGAATAATCTCTTTAAGGAAATGTTGAAGTCTGCTTCTCATGCAGACTCATTCCACTGGAGAATCCCATGAAGTCTGGTTGATCTCTGCTTAGCTGACAGAAAACAGATTTCTTTAGATAGGACCACCTTGGATTTCATCCATGAGACTCCTTTGGTCAGTAATGCATCAAGGGCCTTGGTTTCATGTCTCTGTTTCTCTGCCTGTTGAAATAGCTGGAAGAAGAGATCGCACTGAGAGAGAAAAAAAGGGAGGAGAAGGAGAAAGCAAAACTTGAATGGATAATGCAGCAACAGGAAATGGGAAACAAGATAGAAGAAGAAGCTGAAGAGGAACCTGAAGAAGAGCCATTGCCATCTCTCTACATACCAGAGGAGCCCAGTCCCATCCTCTGTGGGTTTTATTCAGCACCAGGAAAATTTTGGCTTTCCTTGGTAAATCAATTTTTATTTCATGTTGATGGGATTGGAAAATGTGGCAACCCTCCCTTCACATGTGGCTGACTTAGAAAACTGATTATTTGAAACCCGTCATGTCTAGGACATTGAATTCCCTTCATACTTGATAGATTCAGTGATCTTTATGAAGTAAAGCCATTGTGTCATTCCAATTCAGATTGTTCAGTAAATTTACTATAGGTATGCTTCTTGGTGATGCCTGAATGGGCAAAAATACTAAGCTGTTCCCTCACAAGTAGAAGGCAGAATTTTAACATATTGGTAGGATGACTTGTAATGCCAGAAATCATGATAGATTTTTCTCTGTGGGTAAATAGGATCTCTAGATGTTTGGAAGGAACATTTTCTAACCTATTGTAGATCCTTAAGAAAGGAAGAATTACTCTGAAAATTGCATTTACCTGATCAGTTGTGCAGTGTTCTTTTGTCACCATTTCTCTGTGGTCTTTCTCTTCTTCAGGGTGGTTATGACTCAGGGTTCCTCTATCACTGTGAATTCTCACATGACGACCAAGAAGACCAAGAAGACCCTGAAGATAGGAAAGATGAACCCTTTGAAGTGATTCCTATTGAGGACACCGACGACAATCCCATCCACCAAATCTGCTTCTGGTAAAGCATTGTAATGTAACAGCTTTGTGATAAAGCTTCATAAAATTGAACTGGGAAGGGAGGAGGGTACACTGCTTTGTCACTTTTTAATTGTGGCTTAACTAGAGTATGCAGGAACTTTCTCTGGTTTTCTGGGCACTGAGTTTCACTTAAAATTCCTAATGGACACAATGGGCACTGTATCTGACAGAATAATTTAAAAAGCCCTTCAGAGATGCAAGCATCTGATTTCTAATTAAGTATTGATTAGGACTTAAACATCCTGGATTGCAGAACTCCAGGAGAACCATTAGAAGTCTCTGCAAACTGTGATCACCAGAACAGCAATTCTTTTCTGTGTTTAGCAAAGAGAGGACACAGTCCTCCCTTGAGGACAACAAGGAGGGATCAGTCCATCCCTCTTGTGCAAAGAATACACTGTGAACTGTACAGATGAAAAGGTTGAACTATTTTCAGACTCCCAGTGTTAGGTTGCCTGTAGGGCTAGGCATATTCTGCATCTAAGGAGGTAAGTTTAGTTCAGGCTTTAACCTACAGCTGGCTGCATTCATCACCATCTCTAATGGATGGAGAGCAGGGAGGGAAAACTGCTTTTCTAGCTCTGAACTTAGCGTCTGCTACCTTGCCCAACTCAGGGCTGAGACCAGTTCCACGATACCCATCAAGTGCTGGAACATTCCAGAACACTCAGTTAGCTGGAAAACAAATTTGTAGTTGTTTAACATGTATTTTAAATGATCCAAATATTTTGCTCCTAGCTTACAAACTTGGGAAAGCTATATTTATTGAGCTAGATTAGCTGTTTTCAAGTTTCATGTTTTGAGCTGTGCCCTCACTTGTTACATTGCTTATTTGACAGTACTGGCAGAGTATGGATGTTCTGTGGAATGCAGAATGGCTCACTGCGTGCTTATTCTCTCCAAGATAAAGACCTCTCAGCAAATACCCTGAAGGAGTACTGGTCCTTCAGCATACATGACAATGATTATGGCCAGATCCGGGGAATCTGTTCTAGTTATGATGATAGGTTTCTGATTACCTGTGGTGGAGATGGAAACATTTTTACTTTCAACATCTTGTCTCCAGAGGATGTTCAGAAAGAGCTAAAAGCCAAAATCCCCTCTCCTAGGGTAAGTCACTACCCTCTTTCACTGAATTAGGCCTATTTACTGTGAAAATACTCCAGACAGGCAAAATGCAGTTCAGTTATTTGGCATCATAGATGTTTCATAGCGAAAGCTGACGTTGCCCGATTTAAAAGAGGAGCTCTTGCAAAACGTTCACTAATAAACAGGTACTATGACTGCATTGTTCCTTCTCTTTGTTTTGTGGTTTTCTCCAAATCAACATAGTATGTGTTATTCATATGTAATATTCTACTAATCTTTCCCCACTCAAAGGTGTATTCATAGAATCAGAATCATAGAATAGTTAGGGTTGGAAAGGACCTTAAGATCACCTAGTTCCAACCCCCTGCCATGGGCAGGGACACCTTGCGCTAAACCATGTTGCCCAAGGCTCTGTCCAGCCTGGCCTTGAACACTGCCGGGGATGGAGCATTCACAACTTCCTTGGGCAACTTATACCAGTGCCTCACCACCCTCACAGTAAAGAACTTCGTCATGCTTAATACTTGTCTTGCATTTAGCTCCAGTAAAATATGATTCTGCTCTGGATGGGAATTCTATAAGTAATCATAGAGTCATAGGATCATGGAATTAACTAGGTTGGAAAACACCTTTAAGACAATCGAGTCCAACCATTACCCCAGCACTGCCAAAATAATGTTGGAGAATACCAAATGTGTAGTTTCTCAGGGCATCTAGTACCATTCATATACAATCCACAAGTTGGATTTTTAGGATTTGTGGAATAGCACAGCATGCCAATCCTGTTGCTCTTCCACTCTGGGACAGCATTAGTAGTAATTATTCTACAGGTGTCCTGTAATCACTGCAGAACTCATCACCTTTAGCATGTTTGAACAGTTGACACTGGAACTCAGTAACAGTTCTACTGATGCTGCACAAGAAGATAGTGATGTCAACTCCACCACTGAAAATGTTCAGGCTTTATTGAGTTTTTAAAAAATCTCTTCAGTGCCTGAATTAAATAAATATAACTTGAAAGAAGCAGTGAGGCCTGTTGAGTAAAGAAGTGCTATCATGCACAATGAATTTTCAAATAGAAATACCTTCAATACAGTTTAAAAATCTTGAAAGTGCCAACATAAAACAAATTCAGCTTCTAAATATTTTTAATATTAGTTGGTAACTATGTTTTCAAAGTTGCTTGACGAGGGAGGCTGAGGAAATTATTATTTTGGTCATTTAGTTAAATTGTTCATGACTAGTTGAAATTCTTTAGCAGTATCACAAGAACATATAGCACTAAGAATGGACTCAAAATTGTTTTCTTAAACTAAGTGAGTGATTAGAACCTATGATATCAGAGCCTTGCTAGCTCTAGTATTACAAGTCGTGATTAATAGACAATTATAAAACATATATATAGTTTTATCATTTTGAGTATGTAAGTAGCTTTATATAAAGATCTTAATGGTCAATTTCTATTGTTCAGGCTAGTAACATTGCTTAAAACCCATCCTAATAGAGTTTTTCCCTTATCAAAGTATCTTAAGTATCTATTCTAGTTCTAAGTCATGTGGAAGATTTTTAAAATTCCATCTTCATTAAACCTAATGAGATTCTTAAAGAATCAAATACAAATCCTCTGAAACTAATTGAGTTAAATTGTAGATCAATTAATACTACTCTATTCACCATAGGGTGATAGGCCCCCCTCCTTTTTTAGAACATGATTGCCTAGGGAAATGAGGCTTGTGTGACTGCAGTGTCCATCCATCTGTCATTCCTCACAGCTAATAATTGTGAACCCATTATGCAGTCAGCAGAAGCAAAACAGATTAATTACACATGTAACTTGGAATTAGCCCAGGATATGTTGTCTCTTGTCAACATGACAGTGAAGAGAGACAAGAGAATTGAATTTGGGGGACAGAGAACCAAAGATGTTAGTGAAGTTAGGACAAGAAATGTAATGGTTTATGTTAATAGGGAGGATATAGGATTTGTGTTCTTTGTCCCTAAGAATTATGCTTCATTAGTTCCTTTACACATAAACCAACCTGATTGCTTTTTCTTCTTGAAACATTAAAACCTGATATTTAAGGCTTATATAGAAATACTGTTCATGAGGATTTATTTTGGTTTTGTGAGAAGCAATGGGAGCTCTGTCTTAACATTTGTAAAACCCTTATTGTCTGTTGAAACTATTACTGCTTGTTTAAAGGCAAAACAACATTTTTATTCCAGAGTGGTCTCGAGAAGGAGAAGGCTGCTGAAGACATTGAGGATCCCAATGCCTACAAGTAAGAGATTCTTGGATAATGATAAAAGAGATTTCCAAGTGTTGGTAGCTCTTTCTTAAGACCACATACTTCTTTTTGCCTCCCAATAGGAGGGAGAAGTTGATCACCCTGAATTTAGGCCGTTTCCTTGTTACATACAAAGTTTTTTCAGCCTTTCCGTCCATTTCATTTATTTTTCTGTGGTAGTAATTCAAATACAGTAGTCTGAGACTTTCTTAACTTTAGAGACAACAAAAGGTGAAGGTCAAAGCCCCTGGATGTCAGGACTGTATAAATATACAAGAAAAAGATTGCTTTCTAAGTTACCTTAAGAACTATTGAGTTCATTGGGAGTTTAAGGCTGTATCTATCCTCTCTTCTACTGAGATAACACCATTTCCTTTATCATGCTTTTTCAGCATTGAGGAAGTCAAGCAGAAAAAGGAGCATGACCGGAAAATGAAGGAAGCTGAAGAGAAAAAGCAAAAGAAAAGAGAGGAGTTAATTGCACTGAGGCATGAGTTTCTTCTTCTTCTTCAAAAGAATCAGAAGTTGCCCAAGCACATGCAACTGCACAGAGAGGTACATCTGGTTTTTATAAAGGTCATTTACCTTTAGAGGCATCTTCTTCTAAAATGTTGCTACCCAATGTGTTGGGGCCAAAGGTGTCCAACCCTTTGGCTTAAAGTAGTCCTGCAAATATATAATTTGCTGGGACTTCTGAATCACAGCTGAGGATTTGTGGTATTTAAGCATGTGGGAAAAATGTGGTTCTCTGTGGAGATATGAATAGCTCCTGAAATAAAGCATTGTGTTGATGTGCATGGAACTCTGGCACCTGGGCAAAAATATTTATTACCAAAACCCAATAGCCACAATAACGTGATGCTGGGTTTTCTGCCTTTCTGCAGCAGTTTGAGATGGATCGTAAGATCTTTGAGGAGCTGGATAGGCAGACAGCACAGAGAATCCAGTTAGTGCAAAAGGAGCTAGCTTGGGAGCATGAGAAACACTCAATTGGACTGCAGAAACTGCGAAACCAGTAAGTACCGCTTTTCTTCTAATTCTTCTCCTGACCTTTCATGGGGCTTATAATTTACAAAGCTGTACCTGCCACAAGGAAAAAGAATGTGATGGACTGTTCCTCATATAATCAATTTTATTTTTTTTTTTTGTTATTTTATGATTCTGTTCTTATTTTACTTGGAACATACACAAGACTAGATATTGATATTTGGGTTTACTTACTTCTTTTGAATCTTTGGTAAAAATTCAAATATTCCAGTCAAGAAAGTAGCTTCATTCTGATTCACTTCTACATTAAGGAAACTGGAGTTGGGGATTTAAGACTAAGTGTGCCTGGGTTTTTGCCAGTAATTTCACTAAGAACCAAGAACTCTTACTGAAACTTTGAAGAACAACATGTGAACCCCCGTTTTTCAGGCATGTTGCATGTCTGTCAGATATTTTAGTGTTATTGCTAACACAATGCTCCCTATACACTTTAAAGTTATAAAATTAACTTTCTCAAAAACACAAGTTTAAGTTCGAGATGCATTTTGGGTTGACTTTCTTAAATCTAAGTATATAGCAAAAGATGAACGTGTAAAATTAGATACAGAATACACACAAGAAAACCCACCTTAGGCACACAGAGTGTATGGCTGGGAAAAAGACTTGATTAAACCCATGTTTTTAATCAGTCCTTAATGGAAGATAAAAGACATTCTCATGAAGAGTCTTGAGTAAGTTTATATATTAGGAGAGGTCTTAATTCTTGAGCATCTCCATTCCTAGATTGGATAAAAGTCAATAGACAGTGCCAGATGTCATGCTATTCCTTACTAACTTGTGAATTTATATGTAATGATTGTATGTGCAATAAGTAAGCTACATTGTTCATGTCCTTTTGGTCAAGGCAAAATGGTAGGTCGTGCCTATTGACATCAGACAGTTTTGTCTAATTTGGCTTTTCAGGTTTCGGGACTCACTTGAATTTGACACTGTTGTTGTTCATGCTATTCAAAGCAATCATCAGATTTCCACCTACAGACTTCTAGTAATGTCCCATAAATACTACCAAGATAGAGAACGTCCATCTTGGAAGAGGACAGTACTCAAACAGGCATGGAAACAACCAGAAGAGAAGCAGATCAGCATACAGTCAAGGTGTACGTATAGGGCTAATAATGACCATTTAAATCTTATCAGTAATATGGTTTCTGTCTCTCATCTAAGTTTGTTTTCCTGAGTCCAAGCTAAAGAAATTAGAATTTCTTTAGGGACAAGTAAAGAAATATAACTGTGACATGTTTTTTCAGTACCCAGGTACATAGTAACACACATACATAGTTTTCAATGTTTAAGTCAATGTCAGTGATTGTTTGTCAACCCCGTGGGTAGAATGTGACCAAGTCATGTAAAAGAACCCAAATACTTCCAGAACATCTACTACATTGGAACTATACTAATTGGCACCAGCTCTACAGGCACTGTCCCAGGGTGGGTCTAAGTAATTGGGACTGCACTGTGCAGCATTTACGTCTTCACTTGGTTATTTTTTGGTCCAGGTACTACAGTTTCTGAGGGTGACGAAGAAATAGTGGAGATGACAGAGGTCCAAAAGCCAACAACCCGTTATATAAAAAGCAGACGTGAGAAAATCAGAAGAACTGTTGAGAAATCTGACAAGGTGAAGGCTAAGATCATGAAGAGGAAAGCAGAGTGGGATGAATTGTGAGTCTTGAACTAGACTTTATGCCCTTTTAGTTCTGCTTCTTGTCTGAGGTCAAGCTGTCACATAGCACTATATCTGCCTAGTTTTTTATATTCCTAATGATTGTAATTAAAATAGATGAGTTTTCATATATCTGAGTCTCAAGAGAGCATTAAAATCTTTCAGTTAGTTTCTGTGGTTCTTCTAAAATATTAAAAATCTTGGATTCAGCTAGGTAGCTGCATCTTCAAATAGGGTGTAAAAAGATGTCTAAATCAATCATGACTGAGGTACAGTTAGACCATGACAGTCAACTCTTGGTTAACCCTGCTAGCACCAGATCGAGCAGATGCTGTAACACCTGTGTTAGGTCAGTTGTACTAACACCACAGCCATTATTGAGTGTCTGTGATGCTCCATGCTGGTCTTTATCTTGAGAGGCAAGGAAGGTGGACAAGACATCTTTGAATGCTCATAGAAATACAGAAGTTCTTCATCAGGAGGTGAATGACAGGGAATGGGACCAATATAGAGTCAGAATACAAGGCTTTTAAGGTTATTGTTTAACAATATAGAGTAGGATCAGGTACTCTGTGCTACAGGCTGGTGGAGTGTTGACACAGAGCTCCCTGAGATTGAGAGCAGCATGTGCTCACTAAACCCAGAACTCAGTGTAAAGGTTTAACCTGTCCCATGGCACCGTTATGTTGTAAGAGTTCTTGAAGGGAGGTGGGGGGGAGGGGCTGGGTGGGGAATAATCTGAGGGTTTCATTCAAATGTGCAAGAATATTCTTCCCAAAGTAGCCATTCTTTTCAGAAAGAGCTTGTGTGATTCTTGATCCCTAGCTTGCCTCCGTAGCCCTGCTGCACAAATCAGAAAGTATGAAAAGACCCGGTTTGTTCATCTGTATCTTCATCTACAAAAGCTTTGTTTTGTACCTACCAGATACAAGAACAAACCTAGTGATGACTATGAGAATCCCAAAGATGCTGAGGAGATCAAAGCAGCACAGGAAAATATGGGATGTTATAAGCTGAAATCTGCCCCTAACTACAGAGTCCCTGAACATGAGCTTATGAATGCTGAGAAGAAGGTGATGCAGCTTACATCCCTGGAAGTGTTGGTATGTAGACTGATGCATTGATTTATATGTTTCCATTTTCTGCAAGGAGGGAGGATAGTGTATTAGTCACTGAAGAATTTTTCTGAAAGGAAATCAAAGTGGATGCGGGAAAAGGCCCTGAAGGATGGGCAGTGTTGAGCCAGCTTTAGTTACAAACCAGCCCTTCTCTTGTGAACTGCTGGAACTTCACCAAACTCAAACCTGAATCAATCCAGGGTAACTCTCAGCTGTCTCTTTACTTCGGCAGGAATACCTGTCTTTTTGAATTCTTCAAAAAGTCTTATCACCTAGTAACTGGTATGCTTCCCTTAAAACTCTGACTTAAATAAGCCCTGCCACGAAATACCTTTACAAAAACAGGGATGTGAGCAAGGACAGGTGTTTCTAGTGTGGCTTCTCCATATTTGCACTTTGGCAATCATTCCTTCTGGGTACTAAGCATTGGAATCTTCCTGAGAAAGCAGGTCTTTTGAAGCCACCTTTCTGTACCAGGACTCCTACAGCTACTACATGCCTTTTAACCACAAAGACACAAGAGGCTCAAATGTTGTGCAGTATCTTTGTTGCTTTCTTTGTAACTTCTTTCCCCCATCCTTCTTCTCATAGGAACTGTTTTTCATTTTATTTGGCTGGAGTGAAAGAGTGACGAATTACTTTAGCTGAAAGAACGATGAAGAAATGTATCTATTGAACTTGGAACTATCTAGTTGCTTTTTGGTAGGAAGGCCTGTTTTTTGCCCTGCTTACTGACATGCTAACTGAAGAGCATCTTCACTGCATGGCTTATCTTTTTTTTAGAGAAGTGTAAGTTACACTCTCAGTAGCCCTGAATCTTTTCCAGTCTTAACCTCATGCCTAATCTCAGGCACCCTTTAGGCTGGGTCGCTTTGATAGTGAAGTATGTGTGTTAGAGAAACAATGCTAGTCTTGGGGATTATTTGGATCACTTTAATCTCATGCTTGGGCTCCAGTACTTCACTATACTGCTTACATTACCAGATACCTAGTGGAATGCTTTGCACAAGCCAGGTAGATGACATCAACTGCTGTGCCCCTATCCATCAGTTCTGTAGCCCCATCATAGAAGGCCACCGTATTGTTCAGGCATGATTTGCCCTTAGTGAAGCCATGTTGGCTGTCACCAACCACCTCATTGTTTTTCATGTGCCCTAGCATGGTTTCCAGGAGAATCTGTTCCAAGATCCTGCCAGGCACAGAGGTGAGACTGACTGGTCTGTAGTTTCCCAAGTATTCCATTTTCCCTTTCTTGAAAATGGGGGTTATATTACCCTGCTTCCAGTCATCAGGAACTTCACCTGACTGCCATGATTTTTCAAATATGATGGACAGTGGCTTAGCAACTTCATCCACCAGCTCCTTCAGGACCTGCGGATGGATTTCATCAGGTCTCAAGGACTTGTACACATTCAGGCTCCTAAGATGATCTCAGATCTGTTCCTCTCCTACAGTGGACCTAAGGTCTTCATTCTCACAGTCACTGCATTTGTCTTCCAAGACTTGAGCAGCGTGGCTAGAGCACTTGCCTGTGAAGACTGAGGCAAAGGAGTCATTGAGAACCTCAGCCTTCTCCAAACCCAGGGTAGCCACTTCTCCTGTGTGCTTCCAGAGAGGGCTCACATTATCCCTAGTCTGTCTTTTATTTGCGATATACCTATAGAAGCCCTTCCTGTTATCTTTGACATCCTTGGCCAGAGTCAATTCTAACTGGGCCTTAGCTTTCCTGTCCTGATCTTGGACAGTATATCCCTGTATTCTTGCCACGCCACCTGTCCTCGCTTCTATAAGCTTTCTCTTTCCTTCTGAGTTTTCTCAGGAGCTCCTTATCCTTGGAGGCCTCCTGGCCTTCTTGCCCCATTTCCTTCTTGTTGGGATGCAGTGCTTCTGAGCTCGGAGCAAGTGATCCTTGAATATCAACCAGCAGTCTTGGGTGCCCCTGCCATCTTATCCCAGGGAACCTTACAGAGCAGGTTCGTGAAGAGGCCACAGTCTGCTCTCTTGAAGTCCAGAGCAGTGAGCTTGCATGAAATCCAGAAGCATTTGACAGAATATCTCTTTCTTACTTTTGATATTGCTATCTACTATACTTTGAAAATTCAGAACTTTGTTCCACTTCTAACCACCTGCAGTAGCTTTGGTTTCAGTTTCACCATTGCATATAAAAGACAAGAATCTGATCTGCTTTTCAGAACCTACATTTATGGATGACTGCTTCAGTATCTTTGAGGTTATGTGAAATAACAGCTTTGTTTCAATGTCTGTGTCCAAGAAGTCTAGATTTTTGTATAGATGTGCATTTGGCAGTGTGACAGTAAAGGTCCTCTCAGGTATGTTTCTTTTGTTTTGGGGATGGAAGCTTGCTTTACAAAATACTTAAAAATATCTAAACTTCTTTTTGTTAGAGTATTATTTGTACTATATGCCCAAAAAAGAGAAGCTCAGATACTTTCTGTATTTAATGAGACAGCCCAAATAATTAATCCTCTAATGCCCATAGCTTATTTTCACAGCTTCTGGCTGCTTTCTGCACTGTTTCAACATCTCTTGTCAAGAAACTCACGATCAAGCCAGGAACTGAAAGAATGGGGAAGCCTCATTTCCCTTCTTACATCTTTGCTATTTTCTGTGAACCAGAGGAAGAGAGGTGGTTCCAAAGATTTTAAAATCACAGACTGAAAGACAGCTGTTTAAAAATGCTAATGTGTGGAGATGGTACAGAAAAGAAAGCTAGTATGGAAAGAAGAAAAGTCAGTCAGTATGACAAGCCTCTTAACTCTTAACCAAGCCAAGTGCAAGGTCCTGCACC